TATATACATACATATATATATACACACACATGCATTCACATACATTTGTCTCTTTTATTCTGACAGGGTGAGATAGCTGACAAAGAAACTAGTGTGAAATTAAGCACTTAATCACTGAAGGTGATTACGGTGCTTTTACAAGTTCAGGTTATATAGTTACATCACATACATACATTGTATAATTGATACATTATATGGTCAATCTTGGGTACAAGTCCAATATATCATCAAATGTTCCAGTACTCATATAGTAATTACAGAGTTCAGCATACCCTAGCCCAGGGGGGCGAAAGTCAGTCAATATGGGACATTCTACAATATAATGTTCAAGAGAGTACATGTTTTCTCTTTCACAAAGTTGACACATTGTGTACTCGACACTTGGGTTTTGAGAAAGCTGCCAGATACGTCTATATCCCAGGCGTATTCTGGCCACTATAACATCACATTGTCGGGTTCTTGTTCTATTAGCCCCATATGTGAATGTCTCCTCACGATATCTATCATAATATTTAATGCTACAACTTTCAGGTCTTTGTGAATTTGTTAGGTCGGTGAGATCTTCAATATATATTTGTTTAAGTATTCTCTTTGTCACTGCTAATTAAACACCCATATCAATTTCTACCACTGATTTTCAACAGGCTGTCTTAGCAAGCATATCAACAGTGTCATGCCTTGAGATACCAACATGTGATGGTATTCATAGGAATTTAATTTCAAATCTGTTTTTTTAGCAGCTAAAACATTCATTCGAATATCACTGATTATTTTATGGGTGTCACTACTATGTGCGTTCAATGCCAGGAGTGCACTCTGCGAGTCACAGTATATAAGTTCACTGCCTTTGTGTTTTAAAAATTCAGTGGCAAGGTATATGCCTGCAAGTTCGGTTTGAGTTGTACTTGCCTAGTCATTGACACGCTTCATTACTGTATGTACGAGAGAAGATTGTTCAAATATATTACATGCACATCCAGTACATCGTTCACCTTCTTCTACAGAACCGTCGGTATAGCACTGATACACATCGTTACCCATACTCTGAGTACTCTTAGTGATGCTTTTCAGTGTTAACTGTTTTAATAATGTAGAGTGAACACTATCTTTTTTGGGTGCATTTACAAAATCAACTGATAGATCCTAGCTATCCCATGGATAAATTGGTTGAGTAATCATTAATTGAGTTGGGTACATATTTAATATTTTGATGGAGTTGACTACCTTGTAGAACCAAAATACATAATCAGATTTCGTTCTTCTTCTATAGACCTCAGGTGAGTGCAGCATATTAGAAAGTTTAGCTTGAAACGTCATATGTTGCCTAAATCTACTCAATGCCTTCACGCCGAAAACTGTGCTAATAGACAAAATTCTCTCACTTATGGTAGGTAATTTTAAATCTGCTCTCATATTATCTATTCTCGTGGACATTGGAGCCCTAAGGATGAGACGCATAGCTTCATTTTGCAAGGTTTCAAGAGATTTCAGCTCTTTGTCAGTATACAGTGTGAGATGTAGAGCATTGTATTCAGTCACAGAGCGTATAAATGGTATATAAAACATTCTAGCAAGTCTCACGTAAATTCCATGATTGACACCAACAAGGACCCGCAAGGGGTTTAATCTCTCCCACAGTCTCCTCTTGAGAGAAGAAAGGTACCCAGGGTCGTTAATGGGGACACCAAGGTATCTGTAAGACTCGCAGTTCTCAAGTGCTCGCCCATCTATATGATAATTGTGTGGTGGAATACCACATGGAATGAGGGCACGAGTTTTCTGTACAGAGATAAGGAGGCCACATTCCTCAGCTCTAGTAGCAAAAGCATCGAGCAGAACTTGCATTCTAGGCTCCGGAGGCAGCCTGTAAACATAAATTATCAGCATAACAAATGACATTGTCTTCATTATTAGTTGGAAGATCTTTAATAAGTTTATGCATCAGAACGTTGAACAACAAGGGGCAGAGGACCCCTCCTTGTGGAATTCCCAGTTCAAAATGTTTGCTCTCTGTGCTTTTAACACCATTAAACAAAACATATGCTGTTCGATTAGACAAATAGCCCTTTATCCATTCAGTAATTTTCCTTGTATTCCCAGCTCAGCAAGCTAGTATGATTTCCCTGTTTGCTGTATCAAAAGCTGCAGCTAGGTCAATGAAGACTGCTTGAGGGGAAGCTTCAATATGTGCGAAGTACTCAGCAAAACAGTGTTGTGTACTGAGCCCAGGCATAAATCCAAACAGTTGCGGTGACAGGTGCCCCTGTATACGATACATGAATCGGTTAAGAACAATACGTTCAAACACTTTACAAACACACGATGTTAGAGATATGGGTCTATAATTACTTGAGTGTGGTTTGGGGATGGAAACAATGACACTCTTTGTCCAAGCATCAGGTTATACTCCTTCACTTAAACTCATTCTGTACAACACTAAAAGTGAATTACCTGGTACTTGTGAGACTAATCTCAGTAAACTGTAAGTAATACCGTTCTCTCCAGGAGCAATTGATTTGCCCATCTTTAGTGCATGATTTAATTCCCATTCAGTTACATCATTAAGGTCCGACACGTCGATAGCTGTACAGGCAAGATTGACGGTTCGTTATCTGTTGGGGCGTGTGTCATTAAGTTTGTGCTGTATATTAATTGGGAGTGAGTTGTAGTTTGATGTTAGTGCCCATTGATCAAGGAGAATGTTTGCTTGTTCTAGTGGGCTGTGGTGTAGTGATTCAGTGTCTGGCCTACTATTTCCTTTCCCTAGTTTCATTACCTTATTTACTTGGGTTGAACTTTAGTAGCCACTTGTTGAACCATTCCTTCAGTTTGTTTAGGTCATCTTGAGGCCTCATACTATCTTCCTGTGTGTGTGTATGTACTCACCTATTTGTGCTTGCAGGGATTGAGCTCTGGCTCTTTGGTTCCGCCTCTCAACTGTCAATCAACTGATGAACAGGTTCCTGAGCCTATTGGGCTCTATCATATCTACACTGGAAACTATGTGTGGAGTCTGCCTCCACCACATCATTTCCTGATATATTCAATTTGTCAACTACTCTGACTCTAAAAAAAATTCTTTCTAATACCTCTGTGGCTCATTTGGGCGCTCAATTTGCATCTGTGTCCCCTAGTACGTGTGCCCCTTGTGTTAAATACCCTGTCTTTATCTACCCTATCAATTTCTTTGAGAATCTTGTATGTGGTGATCATGTCCCCCTTTAAGTCTTCTGTCTCCCAGTGACGTGAGGTTTTATTCCCGTAGTCTCTCCTCGTAGCTCATACCTCTCAGTTCGGGTACTAGTCTGGTGCCAAACCTTTGAACGTTTTCCAGTTTAGTCTTATGCTTGACTAGATATTTATTCCATGCTGGCGCTGCATACTCCAGGATTGGTCTGATATATGTGGAATACAAAGTTCTGAGTGATTCCTTACACAAGTTTCTAAATGTCATTCTTGAGTTGGCCAATCTGGCGTATGCCGCTGATGTTATTCTCTTGATATGGGCTTCAGGGGATAGATCTAGCGTGATATCAACCCTCAAGTCTTTCTCTCTCCCTGACTCATGAAGAATTTCATCTCCCAAATGATACCTTGTATCTGGTCTCCTGCCCCCTACACCTATCTTCATTAAATTACATTTCCTTGGGTTAAACTCTAACAACCACTTGTTCCACCATTTTTTTCAGTTTGTCTAGGTTTGAGGCCGTTCTTATGGCCTCCAAAACTTCACTTCCTAATGCATTCCATTTGTTAGCTACTGACACTGATTAACTTCTTTCTAATGTCTATGTGGCTCATTTGGGTCTACATTTCCCCTATGTCCCCTTGTTCGTGTTCCACCTTAGCTAAAGAGTTAGTCTTTGACCACCCCGTCAATTTCCCTTAGAATTTGGCAGGTGGTTATCATGTCTCCCCTTACACTTCTGTTTTTCTAGTGTCGTGAGGTGTACTTACCTAGTTGTACTTGCGGGGGGTTGAGCTCTGACTCTTTGGTCCAGCCTCCAACTGTCAATCAACTGGTGTACAGATTCATGAGCCTACTGGGCTTTATCATATCTACATCTGAAACTGTGTATGGAGCCTACCTCCACCACATCATTACTTAATGCATTCCACTTGTTAACTACCCTGACACTGAAAAAAATTCTTTCTAATGTCTCTGTGACTCATCTGGGTACTAAGTTTTCACTTGTGTCCCCTTGTGTGTGTTCCACCCAGTGTGTGCGTGTGTGTGCTCCTTAACCCTACTTTTCGACAATCATTGTCACCAAGTCACCAACAGATACTTCTCTCACCTTTTTTATATTTACATATGCTATAATGTAATGATTTCGACAACGTTTTAATCTAATCCGTTTCAGTTAATACGAATCCAGTTTCCAATTATATCCTCTTCCTCTCCCTTTACCGTTCTGTAAATTGAACACTGCATCAATATCTGCGCTGTAAATCCCCCTTAGTATCGTGTACGTTGTTATCATGTCTGTCCGATCCTTCTTTCTTCCAATGTATTCAGATTTAGTTCCCTCAGTGGTAATCATAGCTTAGTTCCTTTAGCTCAGAAACTATCTTTGTTATATATTTCATGACCTTTTCAAATTTGGGGTTGTTTAAATAGGCGTTTCAATCTTAATTATTACATACAGTTTTAAAGGTGCAGTTTCACTACCTTAAACCAGAACCATTGTCCAGTACCACATTTTGAATTTTACGAGATACCCGCCCACACTCAGCAGTGGGTACTGATGTCCCCCATCCCTCTCACCCGTCAATGTTACCCGCCCACACTCAGCAGTGGGTACCGATGTTCTCCATCCCCTCTCACCCGTCAATGTATAATGATTTATAATTATATATCACGCTGGATTCTATCCGTTGCAGTTCCTCTCTACGACCATTTCTTCAGAGATTACTACCTGCAGCAGGGAGCAGAAGGTCACGCTCGCGGGGTATAAAAGACGAACTAGCATCCCAGACGCTGACACAAGCCTTCCACCAGCCACAACACAATGATCCTGGTGTGTACAGTTCTCGAGGACGAAGGCTGATCCAGTGTTGATACTCAAGTTGTAACTTAATCCCTTGAAGACACGGGGGAGCTGGTTTAAGTTTTTGTGACGTTGGAGTGGGGATTGAGCAGTTTTGTTTGTGTGTGTGTGTTTGTGCGTTTATTATTTGTATTTTCTCTTTCTGCCTTCAGCATCAAGTTGTTAGCTCTTGGACCCATCCTTTATAACAGAGGGTTGTCTAATGTACTGACTCCCAACCTAATTTTCTCTTATCTGCCACAGATCTCTCTCTCTCGCACACACATGCACATTTATCAGCAATATAATTTCCACGTACCCATTACTGAATGGTTAATAGAAGCATCGGGTGAAAGAAACTGCCCGTTTGTTTCTGCATCGGCAGGAAATCGAATTCGGATCTCTTAGGATTATGACCCCAGAGCGCTATCCACTCGGCTGCGAGAACTCGTAAAACTGTAACCTCTATAACCCTTCTAGGACTCGAACCTGGACCGCCAGTGAACCATACCACTGACAACTCGGTACTATACCCACTCGGGCATCGATTGGCTGAGTGGATGGGTGTGAGTGGATGTCCTCACATATTTGGACTCACCCAATTGTGCTTGCGGAGCTTGAGCTTCCGCTCATTGTATGTGAATGAGTGGCATCTTATTTTGTCCATGACTCGGTCCTATGTCAACACTGGCCCACGTCTTCTCAAGCACTGGTTAATCCCAAAAGTTTACAAAACAAATTTTCACAACACAAAAAGACTTGTGCACTTCGAAGTCTACGAAATTATTTGCTTCTGTCACTTGTTATCACTACATTAAACTCGTATTAAACTGTCAGTCAAGCATAGGTTGTATAGAGCTTGTTTTTCCGACCCAAAATGCACGACCGTTCTAGCCTGGTTCGAGGGTGAATTAGGTTTAAAGGTACAATGAAAGCTTTCCATTACATTGTATATGATTTAGTTTTTTTTATCATTTAAGTTAAAGCTAAAGTAGATATATGACCAAATCTAACCTAACCCAACCTACCTAACCTAACTTAACATGTCTTAACCTAACCTAAACGAGCATAAATTCATGTTCTTAATATAATATAATAATATTACTTCACATAAACCAATTCACATTTATTTTAAATAACGAAAGTCACTGCCTATTAGGCAAATCGGGCCTTGCGTACTAGGTCGAGTAGTACGAGTAGTATATATATAATATAATATATAGATAGATAGATATTGCGTTCATAAAGTTGCCGTGTTTACAGTCCCCGTCTGTATTATATCCTGCAGGCGGTCGTCCTCACTTGCCTGGCCGCCGCCGTCGTCGCCGCCCCTCAGGGGAACAAACAAGTCGTACTCACCAAGTACGAACACAACGACTCAGGCGACGGCAACTTCAACTACGCCATCGACGCCGACAACGGCATCAGCGTGTCTGTCTCCGGCTCCCCGGGCACCGCCGGCCAGGTCAACATGCAGGGCTTCTATACGTAAGATCACAGGGGCACATAAGCTGTGTTTTTTTTGTTTGCTAGTTTTTAAAAGTTTTTTTTGCTTAAAGTAATCCATATGCTTATCAACGTGAAATTAAAAATATTTTTTGTATATTTGTTGCAGTGTGATTGATTTTCCTAAGCGCTGAAACCAGACAAGGTTAGCAAAAAACGTTTTGCCTATTTTCACAAACACACACACACACACACACACACACACACACAAACACATGATTAAACAAAAAACATGATTAAACCATGTTTAATCATGTAGGGTAGACATGATTAAAAAAAGATTATTTTGGTCATGGTTGACTGCTAGAACAAATTTGGTAAAAATTCTTGTTTATGTTGTGCTTGCTAAGCAGCTGTAAAGGCCCGACTTCCTAAGCACATGTAAACATGATAGACTGTCCACGTTGTCCTTCTTCCCCAGGTACGTCCTTGACGACGGGACCCCAGTACGGGTCCCCTTCGTCGCCGACGAGAACGGCTTCCGCCCCGACTTGGACCAGCTGTTGAGGCTTCTTCATTTACAACCCATCGTCATACCAATCGCCCCGTTTTCAGGAAAACCTCATCCCGGAGTTAATTTCCGTTAATACGAAAACGGATTCACGTAGCTACGATGCATAAATGTAGCGTCACCACTTTTTTATATATGTATATTTTGAAAATTACTATTTTTAATACTCAAATAAATGAGTACGAACAACAATCGATTCATTAACCTGGTTGCTTAAAAGTCATTTAAGCCTGTAATGTGTTAACTATTTATCCTCATTCACAGTCACATTGTCACATTTGTGTGACAATGTGTCATTTCTGAGTCATTCACAGTCTTGGGTCAGCTTTGATCGTGAGTAGACGTGTAGGGTCAGCGGTCCGCGTTACCCGAGGGAACAATAGGGTTCAAGGGAGCGGGTGTACTGTGCAGTGAGAATCGGGATAGTGTAAATTGAACAGTGGCATTGTAATGCAACACATTGATCACATCTCGTGGTGAATTATCTTAGTGAATTTAGAGAAGATAGCTAGTGAAGATCGACTTCTTGAGGCAGCATCAGTCGCATCAGCCGGGACCCACGTGGAGACCTGAAGACCTCACAGGATTACCGACGACACGCCGTGTATTCACCTAGAGTGTTTGTGGGGGGCTGGCTGGTAAGTGTCTCTCATAAGTCTCCAACAGTGTGCAAGGTTTATATAATATCATATCATAGACACTATTGCATTCCATTCAATAATACAATCGTAATAATACAATCGTGGTAGACAGGTAGCAGGGACAGCAACTGTGAGCTCACTGGGAACCCAGATAAGCCGCTAATCCCCCCCCCACCCGCCGTAATCTGATGACTACACCTCACTCACCTCTTAACCCCCATCTCACTCTCCTAACACACTCCCCCCACCCACCACTCCCACTCTCTCCAAAGACCCCCCCCCCCCACCAAACCCACTCACACTAGGACTATTCTTGCTCTCTCTCTCTCTCTTGACAAGGGCAAAATGGCAGGTGGACGCAACAGGGACACAGGGAACAGCCAAAGTGACCAAACGAGGGACATGTTAACCTAAGTTCTAGAGGAATTCAGGAAGGAGATGCAGGAAATGAGGATTACAATTAACAACCTGCAAAGTGAGCTGACATCAGCAAGGGAGGAGATCAAATCCCTCACAGAAAAAAATAACGAGACCGAGCATCAGGTTATCATCCAAAGGGAAGGTGGGAATGTTACATTGGAAGGAAATGCCTCTGTACCTGAAACATTTGCAGACATACTGAAAAAGAGCTCAGAAGCTATGGACACAGTGAGGGAGGTAGCCATGCAAGCAGCCACCTCACAGGAAGCAGCAAGGTGCACCACTCAGCTGCTGGAGAGAAAAAGATCAGTGGTAGTTGTAGGCATCAAAGAACAGGAAGGATCCAACAGGTAAGAATGGAATAGCAAGGATAGAGAGGCAGTACAGGGGCTACTGAAGGGGTTACAGATGGAAGGGGCTGAACGAAACATTGAGAAGGTTTTCAGGTTGGGCTGGTACAACAAGGACAGAAACCGACTTGTAAAGGTGGTGTTTACAAACGAAACCACGAAGGAGGATATTCTCGAAAGGAAGAGTTGACTGCAGCATGTGGAGGGATACAAGAAAGTATTCCTGCAGAGGGACAGGACGAAGGAGGAGAGAGCCAGGGCAGCAGAGGCAAGGAGGAAGCGCAGGGAGGGAGGAGCAAACCAGGAAATCACAGCCCCCAACACAACAGTCCTAGAGACAAGAGGCGAACCCAAAATCAGCATCCCAGCAACACCAGAGGGGAGGGCAACACCACCACCCCCCTCTGCATAGAAACCCTCCCTTCCCCTCATCTTACCTGCCCCCACCCAACCCTCCCTCCCCCCCACCCCATTCTTACCCTGTCATCCCTTCCCCATTCCCATCATGTCCCCCCTCCCACCTTTCCCCCCCTTTCTCCCCTCCCCCTTCATCCCATACCCTCCCTATCCCTCCTTTCCCCTCACCCCGTATCCTCCATGTCCCCCCTATCTCCTTAACCCACACCCTACCTGTCCCTCCTTCCCTGAAACCCCCACCCCTCACCCCAAAATCCTCTGAGACCCTGCAAACCACCTCACAGATCATCTCACCCACTGAAAAGCTTCCCACACCAGCAGAATGCTCGCCACGAAAGGGACAAGAAAATGAACTGAAGAAAGTGAGCTTCAAGGCAATGTACACTAACATAGATGGAATTACAAATAAAACAAGTGAACTCGGAGAATGGGCACTAGAAGAAAACCCAGACATAATAGCACTCACAGAAACAAAGCTAACAAACACCATAACAAACGCAGTGTTTCCACAGGGCTACTATGTAGTGAGGAAAGAGAGAGAAGGGAGAGAAGGAGGTGGTGTAGCTTTGCTACTAAGAGAAGGTTGGAGTTTCGAAGAGAAGGTAATTCAGAACTGTGAAGGTTTCAGTGACTACATATCGGGCACCATAGCAGCTGGAGGACAGAAAATTATAGTAGTAGTCATATATAATCCCCCACCGAATGTCAGAATACCCAGACAGGAATATGATAGAAACAACTTGGACACCATCAATATAATAGAGAGAGCAGCTTCTGTGGCTAGCAGGAACGGATCCAGGCTACTAATCATGGGAGACTTCAACCATGGAAAGATAGATTGGGGGAGCAGAGACCCACATGGAGGCCCAGACACATGGAGAGCTAAGTTGCTGGATGTGGCAACAAGAAACTTTCTAAGTCAACACGTCAAGGGACCGACAAGAACGAGAGGAGGGGATGAACCAGCCTTGCTTGATCTGATATTTACCCTAAATGAGTCGGATATAAGGGAAGTTAAGTTGGAAGCCCCCTTGGGAATGAGTGATCATAGTGTATTGAGCTTTGAGTACCTGGTTGAGCTAGGAATTATCACCCCCAAAAAAGAACTGGAAAACAAAGGGCTGGCGTACCGAAAGGGAAACTATGAGGAGATGAATAAATTCCTATGGGATATACATTGGGACACCGAACTCGGAACCAAGTCCGTACAAGACAAGATGGACTATGTCACCCAAAAATGTCAGGAGGCTGTAAGCAGGTTTGTCCCAGCCCAACAGGAAAAAACAGAGAAGCAAAGGAAGAATCCGTGCTTTAATAGGGAATGTATGAAAGCAAAGGAGCTGAACAAAAGGGCATGGAGGAACTTCCGTAATAACAGAACACCAGAAAGTAGAGAGAGATACCAGAGAACCAGGAACGAGTATGTTAGTGTGAGAAGAGCAGCTGAGAAAAAGTATGAAAATGATATAGCTAATAAAGCCAAGACCGAACCAAAGCTACTACACAGTCACATCAGGAGGAAGACAACAGTGAAGGAACAGGTGATGAAACTTAGGGTGGGCGAGGATAGGTACACAGAGAATGACAAAGAAAGTGTGAAGAACTCAACAAAAGGTTCCAGGAGGTCTTTACAATAGAACAGGGAGAAGTCACGGCGCTAGGACAGGTGGCAGCAAACCAGGTGACCTTGGAAAGATTCGAAATTACAAGAGATGAGGTCAAGAAGCACCTATTGGAGCTGGATGTGAGAAAAGCTGTTGGGCCGGATGGAATCTCACCATGGGTATTGAAAGAGTGTGCTGGAGCACTTTGCTTGCCACTCTCCATAGTGTATAGTAGGTCACTGGAAACGGGAGACCTACCAGAAGTATGGAAGACTGCTAATGTAGTACCAATATTTAAAAAGGGTGACAGACAAGAGGCACTGAATTACAGGCCAGTGTCCTTAACTTGTATACCATGCTAGGTGATGGAGAAGATTGTGAGAAAAAACCTAGTAACACATCTGGAGAGAAGAGACTTCGTGACAACCCATCATCATGGGTTCAGGGAGGGTAAATCTTGCCTTACAGGCTTGATAGAATTCTATGATCAGTTGACAAACATTAAGCAAGAAAGAGAAGGATGGGCGGACTGCATTTTTTTGGACTGTCGGAAAGCCTTTGACACAGTACCCCATAAAAGGTTGATGCATAAGCTGGAGAAACAGGCAGGAGTAACTGGTAGGGCGCTCCAGTGGATAAGGGAGTACCTAAGCAATAGGAAGCAGAGAGTTATAGTGAGGGGTGAGACCTCAGAATGGCGTGAAGTCACCAGTGGAGTCCCACAGGGCTCTGTGCTTGGACCTATCCTGTTTCTGATATACGTAAATGATCTCTCAGAGGGTATAGACTCATTCCTCTCAATGTTTGCTGACGAGGCCAAAATTATGAGAAGGATTAAGACAGAGGAGGACAGCTTGAGGCTTCAAGAAGACCTGGACAAGCTGCAGGAATGGTCGAACAAATGGATGTTAGAGTTTAACCCAAGCAAATGTAATGTAATGAAGATAGTGGTAGGAAGCAGGAGACCAGATACAAGATATCACTTGGGAGATGAAATACTTCAAGAGTCAGAAAGAGAGAGAAAGACCTGGGGGTTGATATCACGCCAGACATGTCCCCTGAAGCTCATATCAAGAGGATAACATCAGCAGCATATGCCAGGTTGGCTAACATAAGAACGGCCTTTAGAAACTTGTGTAAGGAATCTTTCAGAACATTATATGCCACATATGTCAGACCAATCCTGGAGTATGCGGCTCCAGCATGGAGTCCATATCTAGTCAAGCATAAGACTAAACTGGAAAAGGTTCAAAGGTTTGCCACCAGACTAGTACCCGAGCTGAGAGGTATGAGCTACGAGGAGAGACTACGGAAATTGAACCTCACTTCGTTGGAAGACAGAAGAGTTAGGGGGGACATGATCACCACATTCAAGATTCTCAAGGGAATCGACAGGGTTGATAAAGAGAGGCTATTTAACACAAGGGGCACTCGCACTAGGGGACACAGGTGGAAACTGAGTGCCCAAATGAACCACAGAGATATTAGAAAAACTTTTTTAGTGTCAGATTGGTTGATAAATAGAATGCATTAGGAAGCAATGTGGTGGAGGCTGACTCCATACACAGTTTCAAGTGTAGATATGATAGAGCCCAATTGGCTCAGGAACCTGTACACCTGTTGATTGACGGTTGAGAGGCGGGACCAAAGAGCCAGAGCTCAACCCCCGCAAGCACAACTAGGTGAGTACAACTAGGTGAGTACATTATCAATCTGCGAATAGAGCTTACCCTCTAGACACAGGAAAGTAGCTTCAGTAGTGCAGCCTTTCAGTATATTCCCCAAGATTGCTTGAGTTATCTGGAGTGCAGGAAGGTGTTATTATTGATACAAATAGTCCAATGTTATTTTGGTGGTCATTTTCACTGGTACGTTAGCGAAAAGGCTTCCAACGTCAAGGGAAACGAAGAGCACACGCGGTTCTGTCCTTTGAAGAACGTCGATGAATCCATCGCTAAATTAAGGGAAGATGTGGTCGGAATGTACGACGATATTTTTTGGTTCAACCTCTTTGCGAGTTTATATGTAGGCCTGTGGGTCTGCGAATTTATAGGCCTAGGTAGGCAGCTAGTCTTGTAGGTCTTCACATTTCTGAAGAGAAACCTGGTCAAAAATCACTTGTTACTCGTTCAAATTTTATGCCTTCAATCTCACCATTCGCTACACCTATGAGAATGATTCCAGTTGGGTAACTATTCGCTACCCAACTGGAACTTTAAAGTTTCAATTGGACAACGATTAGTGACTTCTGGAATCCATCTTTATTGAGGCTGTTCGTGGTCTGGTTGATAAAGCTGCTGTCTACCGCTAATGGTTTATGGTTCCAGGATCCTACTGCCCAAGTAAATGAAATACGTCCTCCTTGGATATATTTAGGGCACCAGGAAGAGTTCCATCACCAAGAGACAAGATATTTAGTTCGTTGGACAAGCTATCAGTGACTTCTATGATAGCTAAGCAAATAATTAAAGAGGGACTATGGGATCACTATTTGACAATTTCACAAGAGTCAATTTCATGTTCCCCACAGAGAATCTTTGAGTTGAAACTACAACATGAATAACTAAACAGATGAAGATGTCTGAAATATCTTCGAACGGCTAGGAGGACAGCATCTCTAGCGACGTGACTGTAGGCTTTGCTAGAATCAAGCATAACCAATGCCTTCAGGGCTGAGAAATTGGCAATATGTGTTCATGCTGCATGTCCTATACAATGAGGAGAGGTCACCAGTAACTCACCCGACCAGTGCCAACAGTTTCCTGGGATCACTGGGAGGAGAGGTCATCAGTAACTTACCTGACCAGTGCCTAATGTGGTGTGTAAAGGCGTGCTTCAATGGGTGAATCTTCCTAAACCTTCATTTGTCCAATTTGTCCCTGAACTCACCCTTGCCCTTCCTTTCCCTTCTCTCTCTATGACCTATTCCTAACAAATTATTCTTAGCAGCAGGAAGCAGAAGGTCACGCTCGCGGGGTATAAAAGACGAACTAGTATCCCAAGACGTGGACACAAGCCTCTCGCCAGGTACAATACAATGATACTGGTGAGTAGAGTCCTGGGAACAAGGGTTGTTTGAGTGTTGATACTCGAGTTGTAACTTGAACCCTTGAAGAAACGGGTTTCTATTATTGGGACGACGGGGTGCGGATCGTTAATGTGTGTGTGTGGTTAGTAGTTGTATTTACTATATGTGCCTGCAGGATCAAGCTCTCAGCTCTTGGGTCCCGTCTTTCTAAATGTCGGTTGTCAAATGTACCGACTCCCGAACTATTTTCCTATAGTATTTCTATTTCAAATTTCTCTCTCTCTCTCTCACAGTACCAGGATACAGCCCGTAGACTGTGTAACTTCAATGGTCGCATTTTCTGCTGGGTGAACAGAGGCATTATGTGAAAGAATCTATGCCTATTGATTTCAGCCCCCACCAGGAATCGAACTCGGCCCCTGAAGACTACAACTCAAGAGCTCAGAGGGGTAACCGCTTGGCTGCGAAGATGTGTGTGTGTGTGTGTGTGTGTGTGTGTGTGTGTATTTGGTTTTACTTCATTCTCCTTTCATTGTAAAATTTAACACCATAGGAAGCATTGAATCTCAATAATAAGACTCTGTCCTACTAGAGAAATACTCAATGCTAAAGATATAAGAGTCTGTCCTGTGTTTCAACTCAAGGAAAGAACTTCCACAGTCCCGCGTAGCAACAAGGCTGTGGTCAAGGTTGCGTCCTATATGATGTCATATTGCTAGTCGTTGTTTGTTTTATCTCCTGCAGGTGGTCGTTCTTGCCTGTTTGGCCACCGCAGTCGTCGCCGCCCCTCAGGGGAACAAACAACAAGTCGAGGTCTCCAATTATGAGCAAAACGTCTCTAGCGACGACAACTTCAGCTACGCTTTCGAGGCCGACAACGGCATCAGCGTGTCTGTCTCCGGCTCCCGGGGCGCCGCTGGCCAGGTCAACATGCAGGGCTTCTATACGTAAGGTCACATGAGTACATAAGCTTGCTAGCCTTAGAAAGATATTACGGCATTTCAGTTTAAAACAACAAGAAAACGTATATTCTGAACTCACAATCATGGATCCCGGGTTCGATTCCCGTACGGGAAATGGCTAGGCATGTTTCCTATCCCCTAGTGCCTCTGTCCACCTGGCAGTAAAACGACACTCTAACGTTAGACAACTGTGATTGAGTTACATCCTGGGAAGGTTCATTAGTTCGACATTGAGGACCTCGATTCATGCATGAAGTTTCTATACACATAGGCTACCTGTTCCTGACAAAACGAATTATTGTCAAATTATGTTGCGGTATGTCATACATAATAGCCAAAAAACAAACAACTATAGGCCTTGTAGATAAAAATGCTTTTGTCTAATTACTAAAGTATATTTTCATTTGTTATAGTCGAATAAATATTATTTTGCACTTTGTGAAACTCATAAATGTCATGATGACACCGATTGCTAAGTAGCAGGGGCTTAATTATATATATTTTACATATGAATCAAGAATATGTTAGTTTTCGTCAGATTTCGTTGTTAAATAAAATGTTGTGTAAATTTACATTTGCACATCTTCTTTATTTAACTGTTCATTTTTAGGTTGAAAAAGTCCACTCCATTTTAAGATTTAACTGTCAAATTTTACGTTGAAAAAATCAACTCCATTTTAAAATATTGAGCTAGTTAAGCAGCTGTGAAGAGTCAGACTTCCTACACGCAAGTAAACACGATGGATTTGTCCAGGTTATCCTTCTTACCCAGGTACGTCCTCGACAACGGGACGCAAGTGCAAGTCCGCTTCGTCGCCAACGACAGTGGCATCCGGCCCGAGTTGGATCTACTGTTAAGGCTACTTCACTTCCAGCCCGCGGTCCCACGACCCCCAATTCAATCATTTCTCCCACCGTTTCCAGGAGGATCATTTGGTAGCGCAGGCGGTATCTCCAAACCGCACCCGGGAATTCCTTTCTAGAAATCGCCTTCGCACCCAAGAGCTACATTCCAGGGAAACTAACGTATGTACGTTCAGTGCATAGCTATATTGACTACATAACACATTTGGACTCTTAACATTAACACTTTCTTAGTAAAAGTACGCAAATCTTTATATATTCATTACCACTTGGTTGCATAACAGCTTAGTTTAGTTCGTAATGTGTTAAAAGCACACCATCACTTTGCATTGTTTATTAACAGCCGGGCGTCTCAAGAGATGTTAAACGGTGAAACACAAGGATGTTTATGAATATTTTAACACAACACAAGCAACGATGTGTTGAATGCCTAAGAATTTTGAGTTGTGGGCTAACAACCTCCGGAGAGTTGTTAGGACCACGTCACCATCTTGGAGTTAAGGGAAGACTGTTGACATTGCTCAGGGGGTACCTGAGTAACAGAACCGCCTCAGTCCTTTTCAAGGGGGTCAAAAGTAAACTCTGTGCACCCTTTGAGTTGGGTACACCCTAGGGTGGAGTGCTAAGTCCCACACTGTTCAATGTTCTGATGCACAAATTAACAATTGATATTCCCACACTACCTGACGAAGCCGTCATTTGTTATGCCGTTGATATATGCATTGTTGCAAATTCCCAAACTTGACTGCAAGCTCTACTTGATTCATTCGCTGCTAAAAGCATTGAATGTGGTCTTGTTATCTCTATAACTAAATCCAGAGTTCTCCATCCCAAAGAGAAAACTCATGTCCCTATAGCTTTCAAGGTCAACAACCAGAACATTGAAACGTGTGGGCAGCACAAATACCTTGGAGTTGGTATTAACAGTGACATTGTAAATGATCTACACCGTAGGTTAAAAGAAAGACTAAAACCATCGAGAACACTTACTGGTAAGAATATTGGTATCAATATTAAATATGCTAGACTATTCTATATGATGTTTGTTAGATCTCTCGTTGATTATAATGCTCTGCACTTAATTAATTTCCCCTCCTCTCTGTTGGACAAACTTGAAGTAGTACAGAATGAGGCCATGAGGATAATTCTTGGTGCCCCAAGATGCACAAGAATCATCAACATGAGGGAAGAACTGAAGCCTCCAACCATACTAGAGAGAGAATAATGCAAGTTAACACTACCTTTTGCCTTAAAGTCATGAGAGATCCTACATCTCCTGCATTGCTCAGAGACAAATTATTTAGTGCTGTTAACACCCTTTTGACTGATGCCGACATACCAACTCACTCCTTTTATGATAATTGGCTGAGAAACAATGCTTACAATCTCATTAAACTTAACATTCCTTTTAAGTCTCTCATTCCTGTCTCTGATATTCCTCTTTATCTGTACCCACCATTCAAGTATCATACACACCTGTCACCAAGAAAGATAATGAGAATCTTGCTCTACTCAAAGCTGTCACTCTTGAAACAATTGCCTCCTCCATCGAGAGTCTAAGATCTCACGAGCACTGTGTCTACACCGACGGCTCAGTCCAGTCTTCTACTGGACGGACTGCAGCGGCATGTAGGTTTTATAGAAATAATATTTGCACAAAGACTATCAGTGTCAGGTTAAACAACTGGCTGACCTCCACACAAGCAGAACTAGCAGCATTACATTTAGCAACCAGCACATTAAAAAACATTGGAGGAGGAATAATATTCTGCGATTCAAAGTCTGCTCTTCAAGCAATCGAAAACTTCTCTTGGAAGATCGACAGCAAGAACCTCATACTCCCAATTATAAATGACCTAATTGATGCACAGAGTAAAAGGTCTCGAATCTCCTTTGTATGGATACCTTCACACATAAACATAACCCATCATAATGAGACAGACATTGCAGCCAAATTAGCGTGTAACAAGTTTGAAGTTGAATTAGATCTAGGTATCCCCATCTCTGCTGTCAAAACTGTATTGGTCCAAACATTCAGATCTGATAGGAAAGAACTTACTGACTCCCAACGACCTGAAAGTACTAGTATAAAAAGCTATGATTTGTTCAGATCTGAAACCTACATCTATGGACAGCACAAAACGTCCACTAGACTGTGCGACACAGTGGTTGCAAGGATCAGGTTGGGTTACCGTTACCTGTGGCAGGTGGCTGCAGGTGACGGATCTCCCAATCCTGAGCACTCCAGTTGCAAACTCTGTGAGCAGGAACTACGGCATGATCTCCCGCACTGCATCACTGAATGCCCAGTTATTAGACCTTTCAGACCAGTTGGCATGAGGTACCTGGAGCTTTGCAATTACTTTATTCACTCTCGTATTCTTGAAGATATCCTCACAGTATACCCAAAATTTGCCAGTGCAGGCTATTAAACACATGCTCTGTATGACTAACCATCCTGCGAGATGGGGACTTGTATTACCACTGCTACCTTATTCAATCTTGTGATGTTGATATCCTCAAAATGCATCCGGAGTCTGCCAGTGCAGACCGCTTATCACATGCCTCTGTATGACTAACCATCCTGTGTGATGGGGATTTTTTAGCATCACTTAGTTAGCTTTTTTGACACACTGTACTCCACTTCATATAGTCTAGGGTAGCTGCACTAATGCAGATGTACCTAATTTGTTAATAAAAAAAAAATTGGTGAGCAGAAATGGCAGGGTCTTTGTGAAATATTTAAAAGACAATAACATGTCTGTATTCAACTTTGACTCCTCTAACATCACACACCTCATGGGTGGCAGGTTTGATTATGACACTGGTCACGGTCTCATCGATAATGCTGGCGGAGGATCAATTGTTCACGAATTAGTTAGTGATCACTTTGCCATATTCAGTTCATACACTATGAATAATGTAAAATCCCTAAGCTTTGAAAAAATAATCAATATCCCTGAAAATTTACACATGCACTTCAAATTCCGCATTTCTGAATGGTATAACACTGTTTTACTACTGGCAATGCTTTTGAGGATCTGGTTACTGAAGTAACCGCTTTTTATGACAATATTGTAAAATCCACAAGACCCAAAACAGTGAGGAAGGGACAGATGAGGTTCACTGACTCACGCCTTAAGTCCCTGCTTGACAGTTCTATTCCTAGCTGAGCAGAATAAAACAAAAAAAACTGACACCCTCTATATCCAGCAGGTGTATAACCAGCACTGGGAACTGTTTTTGCAAGGCGTCAATCATGCAACATCCTCATCCCAAAGGTGGAATAAAATTTAAAAGATTTCATCCTAGCAGTCGTCAACTTTATTACCATTCACCTGTAGACTATGCCGACCTGCTGCTTCAACAATATGCAAGCACTGCCAGTATAGCAGCCTACCCCTAGATGTAGAACACCATCTGGCTAGTACCAAAATATATCATAACTTCAATATTGAAATTGCTTGTAGAGAAATAGGGCTTGATAACTATGGCATAACCCCCTTTGAAATTAAAAATGCACTCAAGAAAGGTAAGGCTACGTCTCCTGGAGAGGATGGCATCACATACAATACCATGAGAGTACTTGCTGAGCTGCCAAATAGCCCTTTGCTGGAATTGTTTAATCAAAGTCTAAGGCAGGGTGTCTTACCTGGCCGCTGGACACGGAGACTCATAATACCCAAGCTTAATTCAAAAAAATTCAGACCCATTTCTCTGACGTCGTGCATGTGTAAAGTTCTTGAGAGGATTAATTTCGACAGACTAATGTTTCAAATCAAGCCTCACCTTGCTCCTAACTTGTTTGGTTTCCATCCTGGAAGAAACCAAGCAAGCACACAAACTTGCTTTGCTGAATTTTTTATCAGAGAGGGACCAAGCTCTCGGGCGGCATTTATTGATCTCAAAACTGATTTTCATACAGCAAACAGAGAAATCTTAAAACAACTAGCCTCTTTTGGAATTAAGGGAAGACTGTTGAGTTACGGCCTCAATGGGACGCAACCGGGTTCTTTTCTGGTGGTACGAAAGTCCTGGTATCCGGTCGCAAGTTAGTAGTGGCTTTCAAGGGGCGAGTTCAGTAATGCAAGTAAAACAAAAAGGGGGAGGTACATTAAATACAACAGGTCGTCACTTTATCCATATATAATTATTCTTCCCATCACCATATATATATATAAAACTCTTAAACGGAAGTATTACTACACTATGTGTACAGCAACGTCTCTCTCAGAAGACACTAAACACTCGGCGAAGCTCAATCGATGCAGTCTTGTACCATGTTTCCTCATCCGTGATACTACCCTCAGCAGGTACCAGGAAACAACAAAGAGTCTACCCTGGCCACGGGCCAGCCAAACCACAATTCCAGTAAGTGCCTCTTCGTGAAGGCCCACAACCACAGTCCAGCCTGTTGCTGGCAGGTACCAATCTGCCTCGCTGTTGGGCCACTTCACTTGCAGATACTAGCGTAGCAAGCCCTAGGCAGGAGCGTCGTGCAACTAGCTGGTTACTCTCCTCTTCAGCACCTTAGTCAGTTGTCTCTTCTACCAGCCAGCCCCGGGTACGGCGAATCCCGTCACTGCCACTCCACAAGCAGACAGTAGAACACTGCACAGTCCTCTTCCGGCGGCGGCCCACTGCTTCTGTAAAACAGACTGGTGTAGAGACCTTGGCTGCCCTGGTAGACTAACTGTTTTTATATCACAGCTGCCCTACATCGACTCTGTGAATACAGACACGTCATCAGTACACTGGAACACTACATGGGACCACTAGGAAACATCACTTACTGGCTTAGACACCTACGTACACCTTTTCGCTCAATAGATGGCACTGATTGTCTAAGCACCACCTCAATAGAGGTCAGCACCAGCTACCTCACGAGCCGACTAGGACAGGAATCTAGCGCCTCTCCCCGGTATATTCTCGTCATCACTAGATGGCGTCGTCCATGTTGTGGGGGGTTTCAGGAGCTGTTACGGACCCGAGCCCAGCGTCCAAGCACGGAGCAGTGACGACCGCGCCATCTGTGGGTCAGCTCCCAAAACTCCCTCCAAGTGGACGACGCCATCTAGTGAGGACGAGATATACCGGCCACAGGGGCTGGTTTCCCGCCTTATTCAGCTCGTAACGTAGCCGCTGCTGACCTCTGGTGAGGTGACGCTTAGAGAGCAACGCCATCTATGGAGTGGATAGGTGGGCGTTTGCGTCTAAGCCTGTAAGTGAGGTGCCCTAGAGTGTAACCAG